AAACACTGAAACATGACTTTCAATGCGGTCTTCAAGATCATTTATAAACATGTTGAATAGAATGACACTATAGTCATCAAAACAACTTTAGCGTAATGAAGCAGTTTTTGTGTATTGATCATGCCCCTACAGTCTCACTGCTCAATTTTCTGCCATTTAGTTCTCTTTATGCAGCCCTAGCCACCCTCACCTGGCTTTGACTGACACAGCATGCATGAATGTTTTTTTTTCATTTTCACTCAGATGTAACTTCCTTAAAATGTTTTTGTCTCCTGCTCTGTAAATTGAATGTTAATTACATGCAGGAGGCTTCTGCGGAGTCTAACAAGCGATTAACAACAGGAGATAAGAATTTACCTTAAAGGAAGTGTAAACATCAGATAACGCTTTACAGGAAGTGTTTAGGAAGGCTGTGTAAATCACATGCAGGGAGGTATGACTAGGGTTGCATACACAAAGTGAATTAACTCCTAAATGGCAGAGCTGAGCAGCAAGACTGCAGGGACATGATCTATATACCAAAACCGCTTCATTAAGCTAAACTTGTTTTGGTGACTATAATGTCCCTTTAAGTTGAGTTAACATTTCCTTAATTAAACTTTTTTTTTTTTTTTTTTTTATATGAAAGATTTAGCCAATGACATCATCCAGCTCAGAAAAGGCAAAGCCATGGCAAACATTGCAAATAATGAGGAGAACAGAAACATTGTCTCTTGTCTCTTGCTTTTTCCATGCGGACAGCTGCAAAGGGCACAGTTGGTAAAAGTGACTGATATGGAACTAATATTGCGGTACCCATTTACAGGGCAGAGAGGTGTGAATTCCTACATTTAATTTACTTCTTCACAAGTACATATTTCTTAAATATAAGGATAAGTAAACATCATTTTAAAAGTCCTGGGAAGTCATAGTTCATCTTTGATGCTAAGAGCTGAGCCTTGCTAATCTCTGTATCTTTGGTTTCTAATGCACAAACACTGACTACTAATTTATATGACCACCCGTTTTGTACATTACGGGTTCCTAACATATTGCTGGCTGCGTTCAAATTACAATTGCCATTACAAACCTTTGCATTTATGACCCAGTTGTAGCTCGACTAACCCCCTGGTTGTAACTTGAGAAAACCCAGGACCAAAATGGGAACCTCTTCTGTAGAAAGCATGCGTCATATAAATTGCTAAAGAGCAAGAGCAGTTAATATCTAAGGGATTAAGTAGAATCCTGCAAAGCTTACTTCTCTATTATTATATGTGCTTAGCATTGCTTCAACATCATTATCCTATCATATAAATTAAGAAACATGGTCAGGGATTGACAAACTTCCGTAAAATGTACAAACCAGGCAAAATGTTCTTGACCCACACACTTGACCATATCCTTATACACACTCGCTTTTGAAAGTAGGGATTTTAAAGTACTATTCCTCCGGCAATATCTAATATTTTATTGTAATTTGCAACCACTTAGTTTTACTAGACACAATCCTGAAATAAGAAAGAACTGCAGTGATGAGGCTGGCTGGTGCACAAAGTGCAGGGAGGAGCAGGAAGGGTGGAGGAAATGCATAACTCAACATGGTCCGTCTATAAAGCGGGACCGGTGGAGTTGGGAGGAAGCGTTGTTACCACAATAAGTGGGTCCGCTTGGGAAAGGCCGGTATAGTCCAAAAGTGTGAGGGACATCCTGGAAAAGTGGCCGGTCCACTACTTGACAAGCAGGCTAACCACTCCACTTCTGGAGTGCTCCATGCATAGTCCTAGTGCATAGTCAAGTGCATCCAATGATGTGCTAGCACTGTGTTGCCTAGGGACAGTTCCCTGATGTCTCCATATGCAGGACAACAGGGTACTAAAGCTAAAGCATCCAAAAATCGTATATCACGTGTGTAGGGAGTACATGTGTATATCTCTTGGTGTGTGCAAGACTATATGTTTGTCTGGGAGTGCATATCTTTGTTTGCATGTGCATGCTTCTGGGAGCAGAAGTCTGCAGGCAGCACAGAAGTACCCCTCCTGACTTTGAGAACCTTGCCATAAAGGCTATATGCTTAAAGGACCACTATAGTGCCAGGAAAACATACTCGTTTTCCTGGCACTATAGTGCCCTGAGGGTGCCCCCACCCTCAGGGACCCCCTCCCGCCGGGCTGGATGGCGAGGAAAGGGGTTAATCTTACCTTTATTCCAGCGCCGGGTGGGGAGCTCTCCTCCTCCTCTCCGCCTCTGATTCTTCTCCTGGGCATTCATAATGCTTTCCTATGGACGCTTGCGTCTTCTCACTGTGATTTTCACAATGAGAAGCATGCAAGCGCCTCTAGCGGCTGTCAATGAGACAGCCACTAGAAGATTTGGAGACTGGATTAACCCATTTATATACATAGCAGTTTCTCTGAAACTGCTATGTTTATAAAAAAAGGGGTTAATCCTAGAGGGAACTCGCACCCAGACCACTTCATTAAGCTGAAGTGGTCTGGGTGCCTAGAGTGGTCCTTTAATTTTGAATGCCTTATATATCTGATGCATTAAAAAATAAGCAAACAAAATATAAAAAAATATACTTACCTTTAAAGTAGCTCTAATACCCGTTGCAATTTAATATATGTACAGGCTCCCCCTATTTCGCCTGATCCACCATAGATATCAGTGTTTTACTCTCACGCATGTGAGGAGAAGAAAAGCATTGAGAGGCTATTGCACATGCGCGGCATTAAATCAATGCATGGAGATACTGAACAGCAGTGCTGCACAATGAACTAGTAAGCACCTCTAGTTGCGTTCTGAATGTTACTAGTAGTGATGTCCCGAATGGTTTGCCGCGAAAGGTTCGCCGCGGACTCATCATTGAGTAAACTTTGACCCTGTACCTCACAGTCAGCAGACACATTCCAGCCAATCAGCAGCAGACCCTCCCACCTCCTGGACAGCATCCATTTTACATTCATTGTGAATCTGCATTCTTAGTGAGCTGTCCAGGAGGTGGAAGGAGGGTCTGCTGCTGATTGGCTGGTATGTGTCTGCTGACTGTGAGGTACAGGGTCAAAGTTTACTCAATGATGAGTCCGCGGCGAACCGTTCGTGGCGAACAGTTCGGGACATCACTAGTTACTAGGCAACAAGATAAACAATGCCTTATCTCTGAAGAGGCCATGTTTACATTAAAACGTCTACAGGGACAGGAAGTAGACACCAGAACAACTACATTCAGCTGTAGTTGTTCTGGTGACTATCGTGTCCCTTTAAGGGTACATTGGTGGCAACTCCTACTCTATAAATAAAAAAGAAAACAGATGTTGGATAAGAGATTTGGTGGAGAATTCAGTGTAGTTAAGTTTCATAACATTTACATGTCTCTGTGCACAGTAGAAAAGGTTAAAATACCATTCGCCAAGTGATTCATGTAATTGGCCATTTCCCTGGCACAGACTGAAACTCTGTGCTTGGGAAAAAACAGGGGGCTTGCAACGGCTGAAGCTTTTGCTTTAAAAAAAAAAATATATATATATATATAATAGTAAATAATAAAAATAATAATTAATAAAAATGCATACATGTATTTATTGGGGGTGTGTCTACAAAACAGGGAGTTTATGTTTTTTTTTTAAAAAAATATTTAGTGGGGAGTGGTCCTTTAATTGAAATCTGGAAATCTGGAAAAAGGTTGATTCATATTTCTCAATCACTTCTCAATTAACAGTTTGAACACACATTGTCCACATGTGATTACTAAATCATTCGATGCATATTTAAGGCACAGAATGTTCCCAGAATTGGTTAAACTGTTTTTAGGTTGGCCAAGATGAAATCAAGTCATACTAACAAGTACGCTACACGAACAGCACGTAAACAAACATACAAGCTGACAGGATCTCTCTATACACTCCTC